AGAAAGGAAGACAGTTCAGAATATCTGCTGATACCCATGTTAAATATATGGAAGACATTTTACTACAGAATGAATGTTCTGTTGTTTGGTTGGTCTGGTAGGAACTCATTTTGATTGCAGATAAAACAAATTATCTATCAGCATATTCTAAACAGTTGTGAAAGAAGATTTGGATTTAGTGCAAAGAAATATGTCCACTGAGTCTTCAACACACCCATTGGAGACCTATCCAAGAGAGTAGTACTCTGATCATTATAACATAATTTTTAAAAATAACTTAGTGAAATACATATAATTGACCAAGTAGGATTTTAAAGGTGCTTGTCAGCTGAAATGTTTGCAGAAACTGAACAAATGCAACAGATATTCAGTCCAGGAGATTATCATGTGAGAGAAAGTGTTGTATCAAATTGATATTTCTTAGATTTTTAATTTCATTAATTATGTATATAGCAGAGGGAAAATCTGATTCATATTGGATTTCCTCTTTCTTGTGTTCCATGAATGCTGACTGCAGTGGATTTGTTTTTAATCAGGGTTCTTATATATGTGGACCTGTAAACGTGTGGGGGAAGAGGACATAATAGTAAGGCTTTTTTTGTTTTTTTACAGTGCCTCGATGTGGTTCTTTTACTTGTTTCTTTTAATTGATTTGATTTTGTATTATGTTTTATCTTTTGTTTGCTGCCCAGAGTTCCATTGGTAGGTAGGGGGCTATTTTTGTTAAATAAAATAAAATAATACATATATTAGCATATGCATGCTTTCAAAGGATGAAAAATTACACATTTTCTTATTATGCTAAACTTGAAAAGGTGGGATGGTGTATTTCTGTATTGCCTATTTGGAATAGTAGTATGCTTCTCTCATCTATTTTGGCCTATCTCTGTGTATGTTAATCCTTGAATCGTACTGACAATAAAAATAAATCAAATTATTGATTTATATCAACTGACTCTAGATAAACAAGTGAAGGAATTGATGTAATATGATTTTTCTACAATTCACAAAGATGTTTAATAAGAATCAGAGGAGGGTACTTGCTTGAATGGGATGAGCAGTTTGGAGGACTATGGGGAAAGTGGTTGAATGAAAATTAGATGGTAATTTGTTGTTTACAGTTCAGTCAAATCTGACCTTCATGACCCAGTGAATTTCACCAGGACTGTCTACTGGTTACAGCTTCTTGAGTTCTAGTAAGCCAACCACATACTTGTGCTATTAGTAATAGTACTTAGCCATCTTGTTTCTTCTTGGCCTCTTTTTTGATTGCCCTTAATTTTTCCAAATCAGAAAGTCTTTTCCAGTGACTGTTTGCATGGTGTGTACTAAATATGTAACACTTAGCTTCATTATTTGTGTGTCCAGTGAGCACATCACTTGGTGTCCTGTGGTTATTACTTAATCTGGTATTAAATTATATATCCCTTTTATAATCTAAAATATTCTTGAATGGTAGTAACTCCCACAAATTTGAGGTGCTGGTTTCTGACTTTTGAAAAACCCTTGGTCCTCCTCAAGCTACCACTCTACAGTCCATCTCATTCAGGAATATAGCTCACTCTTGGGAAAAAACTGACAATAGGGAGAGAAAGCAGAAAATTTGTAATCCACTAACCACATTCCATATGTGTTTGCTTCATTCTGTATTAGAAGTCTGGAACCATAAGATTTATTTCCCCAATGGAAAATTATCTGAACTTTTCTGTGCAGCCTGGTGTATATTAATACTAATCATTGTTTAACTGGAAAAACTGAGTTCAAAATATTCTTTCATGTGGGTGGGGATCTATGAGTTGTAGATTTAAATTTTTTCATATCATATATAAATATGTTGGTCTGGGTGTTACAGCTAGAACTACATCTTTCAATTGGGTCTGTATTTTTTGGTTGTTAGAAACATATTTAGTAGATGAAATCATTCTTAAAAATGAAAAAAAATTGAAGATAGTAGGGACCATTTTAGAAAATAAATTTTCCATTCACTGACAGGAAGAAAGAATGGTTCTTGTGTGATGGCACATGTTGCATTGTGTGTAGGTGCACCATTTGAAAGCATGGAGAAATGACTGAATGATTTTAGTAATACAGTATGCAGATTCAATGAATCAAGACTCATTTACTATTCTTTAATCAGATAATAGCTTTAGTTTTAATTACATTTGCAGATTTAAGTCATGAAATGTGCTACTAGTGCCCTCATTTTGTAATGAACAAAATATATGGCCAGAAGGTAATAATGCCAGTTGCATTTACAGGTAGTCCCCAGGTTAAGAATGCCTGGTTTATGGACAACCCATAGTTAAGAACGAAGCCTATTGTAGCAAAATTTGAGTTAAATACACAATGATTTGAGTTAAATGCACAATGGTTTGAGTTAATTACACAATGCTACTTATACAATAGTACTGTTCCAGCTTACATACAAATTCAACTTAAGGACAGACCTTGGGAATGGGACTTGTTCTTAAACTGGGGACTGCCTCTACTCTTTAATGAAATGAATGCTTTGGATTCGATTCAGAAGAGGCGCTTTGGAATGTTTGGGAGTGTGAATGTGTTACTAGTCTGCATCTCACTAAAGAAACTACCTCTATTTCCAAGAGTGTGCAGCTGTAGGAGACAGCCTCATGATCCTGGAAGGTGATGTGGTTGCTTTAATGACTCAGATGGCTGCCATGCTTGTGTTCCTATATATTCCAGAGTACTTTTTCTGAATGGAATCTGCACCATGAACTACTCTAGAGTGTAGCCTCATGCCATCTAATCAAGCCTTCTTTGTGACCTAATTAATTTGTTACTTGTTTACCTATGCTGCTCTTACATAGGGTGGAATTCTTAGCCCAGTGTCAGCTCTTCAAGGTAGGCCAGGTCAGGAAACAGAAATACTAGAACTCTATTATACTGACATAAGACAGGGGATGGCAACCTTTTTCTGTAAAGGGCCAGATTCCGCCCCTTCTCTGAGGTGTGGCTGGCAGGTCTGTTGGTCAAGGAGCGTGACAACATTGGGTGGTGGCAGCCTGCCAGCAAAGAGGCTGATGATGCCCTTTCCTTCACCATGAAAGCTCAGCTGAGGCTTGGGCTTGACAATCAGCTGCCTGCCCACCTGTCCATTCTTAGCTTGTGGGCCTTATAGAAACAGGGAGTGGGCTGGAATTGTCTGACCCCTGATATAGAATATAAAAACAGACTTGAAAGCATGATAGTGTTTCTCCTTCCCTCCCCTAATACCAAAGAGAGTCAAGGTAGGGCAACTTTAAGTATCTTTCTCACACTGTCTTGTTTTGTGATGACTGAGTTCATGTTTTGCTGACAGTCTCTGTGTATCTTCTTTAAGATCATCTCTGTGTTTCTCTACACATGATTCATTCATTCATTCATTGACTCTGAGTGACAAACAATCATAAAATAAAAACAAATTCTTACTGGAAATACAAAAATTAAAATACACAGCAGCCGAGGAGGATATCACTATTGCTGGTTGTTAGCACAACCAGGAGATGGGACCCTTCACACCCTCGGGGCCCCAGGCCTGGGCACAGAACGAGGCAGTTATTAGAATTCATAGCTCATATGAGCCATCATCTAAGTGAAGAAATAAATTATATTTTGTCCTGAAAACAAGAAGTTGATTCTTAGTGTGTTGGGTCTTTGGCTCAGAATATCTTGTATTTGTATGTGTTTACGCTTGGGAAATAAGTGCTTGTACTTGTTGGATCCCTTGGTTATCTTTGTTGGCTGTCTTCTAGACTGGGTTTTTTTTACATTGTGTAGTTCCACAAGAACTTGATGGGACTCCATCAGAAACTTAAGGCAAAAAAAAGTTCATTCAAAGGCAGCTAGGGACATAAACGGCAATTTTTCCAAAGTACAGCATAATGGGCAGGAGCTTGTTTTCCTGGGGAAAAAAAAACACAGCTGCCATTTTGTGGACCAGGGATTCCAGAATGGAATGGAATGGAATAGAATAATATATTTAAGTAACAGGTTCTGCTGCTTGAAAACCTCTGCTCTAGATGCCTTTGTCATGCTAATAAGGTAGAAGTCTGTAGGACCCAGTTTATGGAATCCCTTGGACAGGAAAACTTTATCTCCTGGTTCAGACAGAAGACCAAAAAGTTACTAGTGTGTGTGTTTGGGGGGGGGGGGGGCTGGTTGCATCATCCAATAATTTTTTGTGCTAAACTGTTTTTGTACTGTGGTTCCGGTACAATTGATTTTAATGTTAAAATGGAGTAACTTTGAAAGCAGACATATCTGATTTTCACCTATGTCTTAAAGGGGGGCATTTGTTACTAATAGCACATTGATACTGTCCAGACAAAAGGGTTTATAATAGTTGCCCAGATTTGATAATTTCAGCAAAGTTAGAAAAACAAAACAAAAATTGGCAGACTCAAAGCAAGAAAATAAAATGGCTTGTTTCAACATTAAGAGGATAAATTCCTATAGTTACTGCAGTAGTGCTGTCCTAAATATTGCACACTCAAATATATTTATGAAATATATAAATGAATGAAATATAAAAGAATATATAAATGAAATATAAATGAATATATATTTCATTTAAAAAGAAAGAATAACTGTGTTGGCACTGGGAAAAAAGTCCTTAATCCACATTAGGAATATTGTACCTTTATTGGATCAATGAAAACTACAAATTAATATGCACATTAACACTGGTAAATAAAATAGGAGAGGGAAGGATAGAGGAAAAATAGGTGGGTCAAGGTTGCAGAATGTATAAGTGAGTTTGGTTGAACAAGGTGACAAATTTACAATAGCCATTTTTGATTGCTGTAAAAATACTTTGGTCAGTTGCTTTAGTTAATAAACTGGTGAGAGGAATCATGAGACAAATCATCTTTGCATCTCTAGTTCATGAATAATAATGTAATTCACAATATTTGCTAATAGAAAGGTATATTAGGATAACTTAAAACAGAGGTGATAATGCTTTCTTTGTTTGCTCTTGTTAACTTATTTCTGTGTTTCAGGGAGTCAAGCCAGCCAGCTTTGATAAAGTAGCTATTCCTGAAGTGAAGGAAATAATTGAGGGATGCATCCGTCAAAATAAAGATGAAAGGTAAATGTTCTTCTGCTTGAGCAGTAGAAATAGACTGCTCTGACAGTTTTGATTGAAAATTGTTCAGATAATCTGTAATGCATTCAGTACTCTAGCACAGGTGTTGGCAAACTTTTTGCTAAAGGGCTAGATCCCATCTCTCCCCTGCCTCCAACAGCATTGCTAGAAGGTCTGCAGGCTTAGAAGTGCAGCAGCCATTGGATGGCACCAGCCTACCAGCAAGGAGACTGCTAAGAGGCCCCACCCAGGATGCCCTGACTCTCAGCCCTGTTCTTGCCCCGGGAGCTCAGCTAAGCCTCTGGTCTGGCAATCTGCCACCTGCCCACCCGTTCTTTCTTAGCTTGTGGACAGTGGGCTGTATTTGACCGACAGGCCATAGTTTGCTGACCCCTGCTCTAGCCTGTAATCTTTGAATGTGGCACTCATTTTGCAAGCATGTGTTAAAATTTCTTTCAGTGTGGTTTGAGTTAAGGAAGGTCAAATTACACCAGTAGTCTGTTTTCAAATTGCACTAATAAGTCCCTTTGTAGAAAGGGCATAAATTTCCCATTTGTCATCTCCCATTTTAAAGGATGGATGAAGCATTAAAATGTATTGACAGTGTTTCATTTAATAATCAAAGACCCGTTGCCTTATCCACTGGCTATGGTATTGTATCCTTATTATGCTTCCTTCATTCTGTAGTCACATTTCAGAATATTGCACAAATTTCTTTATCCTTTCTCCATTTCCAGTTATTAAATTCCATAAAAGTATTTCATGGGAAAGTCAATTTAGAAAAACTTTTAAAGGAAATCTAAATCTAAATATATTCTATAGTTACAGAACTGCAAAACCTGTTGCAGAATCTCTCACTGAATATTAAATTAGGCCACACAGAGACTTGTTCTGAAAAGTGTATCTGGGAATGTATAAAGTTAAACTAGCATAACTTTTAAAAAATCAGTGCTTCTTTTCCTTGGAGGACAAAGTGTCATGAATGCAATGTGTCTTGGGATAAGAATTAAGGTTTTATTTGGGAGAATATGTTCAGTCCAAATGGAAGAGTTTGAATAATCTTTGTATTTAGTTGCTAAGTGAAATCTAGCACTGTTTCTGTGTCTCTGGCTCTCCACCTCACCCGCTGGTCCCCTAAATTGTGTTTTGTTCTTTTCTTTCTATAACTTTCAGATATGCTATCAAGGACCTTCTGAATCATGCATTCTTCCAGGAAGAAACTGGTGTGCGTGTAGAGTTAGCAGAAGAAGATGATGGAGAGAAAATTGCTATTAAGCTCTGGTTACGAATTGAAGACATTAAAAAGCTAAAAGGGAAATACAAGGATAACGAAGCAATAGAATTTTCCTTTGACCTGGAAAGAGATGTTCCAGAGGATGTAGCACAGGAAATGGTAGGCAATAAAGGGATTAGACATCTGTCTCTAAATGTAGACTTGAAACATTCTAAGTTTTGGATATAGTTTGGCCTATTTACATTTGGATAGCTAGCACAAAACTGAATACTTAAAAAAGAGGTGATGCAGAAAGCTGTAGTTTATGAGTGAATTATGTACGAATTTTTTTTTAACTAAACCCATAAGTCTCTCCACTTAATATGAGAATATTTTACATAGGCAAATAAAAATACAATTCGGTAAAACTTTTGAAGTAGATACAAACTATTTCCATTAGCTAAGAGCTGCCATGTTTCTTAAGTGAGTATCTTCTTTTTATACATTGCCCGGTTCTGGTCTATATTTGATGCTTTAGGTATGGTTGATAGGTATTCAGGCATAATATTATGATATCTCAGGTAGTTAAAAGGAATTAAATCATTTAAATAAATAAACATGCTAGTTTAATTGTGCTTGAACACTTGGTTTTTTAAAAAAAATGTATTTTAGAATATTTCTTGTCATGTACCAGGGTAATTTTCAGCAAAATATTTTTACTTTTTCTCCAGCGGGTAAGATTACACAGCAAACTTTTCTGCCATTAGTCTGAGACAGTTGTTCCTAGATTTAATTTTTAAAGTTAATCTACATAAAATATTTTACATTTTTACATTGCTTTTTTATATAAAGCAACAGAAATATAAATGCAATTAATTAAAGCAACTTAATAAACCTTTCATTTCGAAACAACAAATAGAACTCAGTACTTAAAACAATAGCTAATTGAATATATATCAGCACCAACATTTAATTAAAAGGGGGCTGAAACATTCAAATCTTAAAAACATGCTGGTTTGAGTTCACCTATGCACTTCTCTGCAGATTATCTGTTAATAAGACAGAAGACACTGTATCTAGACTTTCCTTCCATTCCAGGTAGCTGTGGCTCAACTGTCCTGTGAGGACTGATGCTTCTAAATAGTAGTGCCTGTGCTACTAGTTGCACAAATGGTTTATTTCTTTGATAGCATCTCATAATATTTTGGGAGAATACTGTGATGAATTATTTTTAAGCCAAGTACTTTCTGGTAATATTTTGTTAATGATACTTTAAAACTTAAAACTGACAAACTGACAGCTTTGTTTCTGTTGTGTCATTCTAGAAATGTATTTATTGCAATTTACCATTGTCTAATGGCATGAACTGTTCTCTCCTCAGGTTGAATCTGGATACGTCTGTGAAGGAGATCACAAAACGATGGCCAAAGCTATAAAGGATAGAGTATCTTTGATTAAGCGAAAGAGAGAGCAGCGTCAGTTGGTGAGAGAAGAACAGGAGAAAAGAAAGCAAGAAGAAGTCAATCAAAAGCAGCAGACAGAACAGAAAACACAAGCAGGGGCTACCCAGCAAGGAACAAAACATGCTGTGCCTACTACTAGTGTCACTGCCGTTCCCACCACTTTGACTTCTGTTTCTACCCAAGTAGAACCTGAGGAACCCGAGGCAGATCAGCATCAACAGGTTCAATTCCAGCAACCCAGTGTTTCTGTATTATGTAAGTACTTTCTGTATGTGTCACCTCACTTCCAGTTTTTTTCCCCCACTTTTGGACTGTGGAGGCTAAATTGTCATTAGAGATGCTTACAGCCTATTTTTACCATGTTTAATTGTTAGATTTTGTACCTATAAATGCAGTTTAGTCTTTTCTGCCTTGCTGTTATGTTCAGAAATAGACACTGTGGTTTCCTGCAGTGACAAAATGGTTACAACAGAATCCAAATCACCACTACTAGTTTCATATCTAGCAGAAAGAACCATAAGCAGGCAGAATCAATTCCTGCCATCCTTATCTAATCACACAGGGATTATCAACTTTTTTTGGAGAAGCCAGGCTTTTCCTCCATCTTGCCTCCTCCTTACTATCATTAACATTATTTCAAACTCCAACAGTTACATGAACTGGGCAGGGTCAAATTTTTGCTATTTTTCCTCTATTTTGGGGAGGATTTTTTAAAAAAACAGAAACCGTACAAAAGACTCTATTTTGTTTTCTTGGGTAAACGTACATGCTATCACTCTACTACCTACATTACCAAGTAGTCCATGATACTATAGTACAGAGGGCATGGCACTACCCTAATTCAAATTATGGCTTGTTTTCTTTAACTTTGGTTTCTAAGATGAGTAACATCAATTATAATGTATTAAATCCACTTTTGGGGCTTAATTCTAATTGTTTATGGTACTCTGCACTGGCTGTTTGTTTGGGTATATAGAGGCAATGCAAGCATGCTCAGAAAGCAAAACCACCTATCCTCTGCATTCTACCTGGCAGTAGGATCTTATCCCTATC